CCACTCCATAGATGGTGAAGAGGCATGACAAGGAAATAGGTAGAATCTTCCATTTTCAAATGGAGGGACAAGTTAAGGATGAACTTAATGAGCCCCATATTCTTATCTCTTCACTGAGAAGGGGAGGAGTGGACACCTGCCTCCAGTGGCACAGACGAAGTTGCATTTAATTTCTATCTCAGATGTGGTAGGAACTGCCAACTCATTCCAGTTGAGTGAGACACAGAGCATGAGCACCACCACCAGAAGGCCCACCCCATCTGCAAATGTATTATCAAATGAACTCTGCTCAATAAATATTATCCAAATGCTTGTAGGTATGATGCTCGTGAGCTATCCAAGAGCATGTACAGTGACAAAGAAGGAGCAGTGAGTGACCCGTGCCTGGTATTTGCAGCAAGAATTGTCTTTGTTCATCTCCAGAGCAGCATTTCCTCACTGTGTCTCCTGCACAGGATTACATGGTGCAGTCCTCAGGCTTCAGGTTACGCACATACAGGAACACGTGGCTCTTGGAGGTGTCCCTCGAGTTGGTGAGCCGGTTTCTCAGACCAGTGTTGTAGAAGAAAGCACCGTCATACCCAATACTTGCTGCCCACTTTTCTGAGGCTTGACGGACCCAGCTCATGGCGTAGCATGAGAGAGAAACCCCAGACATGGCACAGGTCAGCTGAAGGGTCTCTTCTGGCCCCTTCACTCCACCTTCAGACTCTGTGAGGGTGACCTGGGAAGAAACAACTGCAGTCATGGAAAAAGGAGATAAACACACATGAAGAAAAAAAGCGGAGGCAACTGCTGGAGCATCCTCATGCCCCTGCTGGCACCGGCGAGTTTGCCTCTCGTTCCAATCCCAGTTGTGGGTCGAAATGCTAAGTCATTCTGCTTGAGCGAGACCTGGAGCAAGAGCGCCACCACCAGCAGCCTCAGCCCATCTGCAACTGCGTTGTGAAATGAGGGCAACTCATTGAATGTTCTGCAAATGCTTGTACATATTTTGCATGTGAGTTATGCAACAGCCTGTCCAGCTGGTAAAGAAGGAGCTGTGAGTGACTCATGCCTGGTATTTGAGGGCAGAAATGTTTTTGTACGTCTTCAGAGCAGCACTTCCTCACTGTGCCTCTTGCACAGTAATACAGGCCAGAATCCTCAGGCTTCAGGTCACGGACTTGCAGGAACACCTGGCCCTTGGAGGTGTCCCTCGAGATGGTGAGCCGGTTCCTCAGAGCACTGTTATAGTTCAGAGCACCATTGCTCCACACAACTCCTGCCCACTCCAGTCCCTTTCCTGGGGGCTGACGGACCCAGCTCATGGC